ATATAAATATATGAGATCACAACAATTTAAGTACATACAACATATGAAAGATCGAGGGAACGTTAAATAAAAGAACTTATACATGTTTGTTGTTAAAAAATAACAATTGCCTTACGAAATCAGACTTAGTCAGTAGTCTGATTTCGTAAGAAATATGATTACACTGCCAATAGCGGCTTCAGCAATAAAATTAACTCTAATCAGAAAAAACTCTGTAAAAATAAATAGGCTATGTTTAAAATATATCATCTACATATCTAGAAAAACTAATGGCTTGGAACAAATCATAAGGAACGCATTTTCTAATATAATCCAGCAATAAGACGTAAATTTAAACTTTTGCCATTTAATATATAAACTTATTTTGAGTGTTTCAAACTTTTACAGATTATTTGAGATCAATAAAACATTCTTAAAAACAAAGCTTAAAAAATAAAATAAAACTAAGAATAAATAACTCCTTTTTAAAATTAACACACCGGTAACATTTCTTAGCTGTTTCAAATTAAAAGTTATTTACAAGTAGTATCCCAGGCTGTGGGGGAAAAAAGGGTGATTTTACACTGTAATCCAGGAATTTATGTAATGTGGCCTAGGTTATAAAGCTCAGGAGCAATCCCTTAGCTCATTCAACAAAAAATTTTTGGTTATTGTTTATTTATGAGCGTTTATAGGTGCAAAATACGTATTTGTTGAGTTTTTTTTCATTTTTTGTCTAAAGTAAGTCATCCATCTCACTCACATTTTTTTTTCTGTATCATCTAGTTCATATTCAGCAGTATGACAATTTTCGCAACTCTCTCCATTACAATTTTCGCACATTCTCGTACATTTTAGGCCGTGCTTACGGCATCCGCAATGTTTGCCACATGCGGTTTCGGTGCTACATTGAAAAAAGGTAAACTTTATTTGTCATTTTTCTTCTTCTTCCAATGGCGCTACAGCCCAAATTGAGCCTTGGCCTCCTGTAACTTCTGCCTCCAACAAAGGCGATCCCGCGCCACTCGTCTCCAAGCCCACGTTCAATAAGTTGTGCGCATCTGCTGTGACTTCGTTCTCCCATCTATTACGTGGTCTTCCCTTTGGTCTTCTGCCCTGCATTTTACCATCCAAGGCCTTTCTCGGCAATCTGTCGGCATCCATCCGTACCACATGACCAGCCCATCGAAGCCTTTGTACTCTAGCGAACTCTGCAATAGGTGCTTCTTTGAACAGTTGGTAGAGTTCATGGTTATATCTAGATCTCCACATCCCATTTTGAGTGATGGGTCCAAAGATCTTCCTTAGGATTTTTCTCTCGAAAACCTCTAATCTTCGTTTAGTGCTTTCTGTCAAAACCCATGTCTCGCATCCATAGCATACTATGGGTCTGATGATAGTTTTATAGACCTTAAGTTTCGATTTTCGATGTACCGTCTTGGAGCGGAATATGTTAATCAGGGAAAAATAGGCTTTATTTCCCTTCATTATTCTCTTCTGAATTTCGGCCTCTTCTGTTCCCTCCGTATTCATTTCGACTCCCAGATAAGTAAAACTCTTCACTGTTTCAATGTCATCCTCTACTTTGATTTGATTTCTTGTTCGCTTTGTCCGCGTCTGTGTTAGTATTTTTGTCTTCTGTGTATTTATTTCAAGTCCAATCTCCTTGGCCGTTTTTTTCAGCTGCGAATATGTTTCTGCTGCATCATCCACTCTGCGGGACATGAGGTTAATGTCATCCGCATATGCGGCGAGCTGGACAGATTTGTTTGTTAGGAGATTGGCTCTTCCGACATTCAGCTTTCTGATGACATATTCAAGGGCCAGATTGAACAGTGTTGGAGCTAGTCCATCACCTTGTTTCAGCTCTTGAACTATTTCGAAGCTGTCAGTTAGTTCGTACTGTATGCGTACAGTTGCTATTGTGGAGTCCATCGTTGCTTTTACTAGTTGGATATATTTCGAAGGAATATTGAAGCTTTCCATGATGTTATATAACCGGCTTCTATTTATGGAGTCATAAGCCTGTTTAAAGTCGACAAATATATTGTGAACATCAATTCGTCATTTTTAACAATAAATAATGATTTTGAGTAAGTGATCTAGGCCTACTACGGCTCATTCGATTCGTAATTTTATAGGCTTGAATTTCATACATTTGAAATAAATAAATTTTTTTCAAAAACAAATAAATTAAATTGAACGTATACCGGCTCAAATTGAAGGTCTTTTAGAGTACTTTCATAATCTATACAGAAAGTACCCATTACAATACTTTTCTTCTTAAAGCTCCATCTCCTATCGGAGGTTGGTTATCATAACGGCTATGGTCACTTTGTTGGCTGCTGCTCTGAAAAGTTGTAGTGAACTACAGTTAAACCATTCTATAAGGTTCTTCAGCCAGGAGATGCGTCTTCTTCCTATGCTTCTGCTTCCTTGGAGCCTTCCTTGCATAATAATTCTCAGCAACTCATATTTTTCTCCTCTGGTTATGTGACCCAAATACTCTAGTTTTCTTCTTTTTATGCTGTTCATAATTTCTAATCCTTATTTAGACGTCGTAGTACCTCAGCATTGGTAATTCTTTGAACCCATTGAATTTTTAACAATCTTCTGTAACACCACATTTCGAACGCTTCTATTTTTCTTATGTGTTGTTTCTTCAATGTCCAAGCTTCCATTCCGTATAGTAAGATAGAAAATATGTAACATCTTAGAGCCCCCAATCTGAGATGCAACTGAAGGTCTCTGTTGGTAAGCATTGTCTTCATTTTGACAAATGCTTGCCTTGCAGTTTCAATTCGGACTTTGATTTCTCTGCTTTGGTCATTTTTGTCATCAACCCAGGTTCCCAAATATTTTTATGTCTCTACTTTTTCTATTTGGGTTTGCTCTATCATTAATCTTTCATTTCTATGTTGCGTTTTTGAGACAATCATAAATTTAGTTTTTCTACTCTATCTCTTATTTATTTTTAGTCCGTATCTACTGCAATAATCGTTAATTCTATTTACCAATTCTTGTAGCGATTCCAGGGAGTCTGCCATTATAACGGTGTCATCAGCGAATCTTATGTTATTTACAATTCTTCCGTTTACAAAGATTCTATCACCCAGATCCGCTATCGCTTCCCGGAATATGGCTTCACTGTACACGTTAAACAGTAATGGTGACAGAACACAGCCCTGTCTTACTTCTCTATTTATATCTTTATATCTATATTTTCGGACTTTTGTTCTTCTATCTTTATATTGGCCTTTTGATTCCAATACAGATTGATAATGATTCGTAAGTCTCGTCTGTCTATATCTTTGTTTCTCAGTATTTCTATTAGTTTTTCATGTCGGACCCTGTCGAATGCCTTCTCGAAGTCGATTAAAACAGGAATAAATATCTAGGTTCATATATAAGCATCTTTGAGACAGGACACTAAAAGCAAACAATGCCTCTCTCGTTCCCAGTCCCTTGCGGAACCCAAACTGAGTATCATCCATATCCTCTTCTAGTTTTCTATATAATCTTCCATGAATCACCTTATAATATTCACCTTAATATTTTGAGGGTATGGCTTATTAGTGATATTGTCCTATAGTTTGAACAATCTTTGGCATATACTGTTTTTGGTATTGCTACAACGGTGGACACCAACCATTCCTGTGGGATTTTTCCAGTTTTATATACTTCATTAAACAGGTCCAGAAGTACAGGTAGAGTTTCATCGTCTAGACATTTCAGAAGTTCCGCAGGTATTTCGTCTGGACCTACAGTTTTTCCGTTTTTTGCGTTTCGTATTGCTTGTTCGATTTCCTCTATTATAATCTCTGGTCCCGTTTCGCTGTCGATTTTTTCTGGTTCTTGTCGATTATTCTCAAACAGATCTGTTATGTATGTCTTCCATTTTTTTTAATTTCTCTTTAATTTCTATAATGATTTTTCCATTTGCGCTTTCAGAAGGGCATCTTTCTTTTTTCTCAGTGTATATGTCATTTCCTTTATTTTCTTATGCATGTTAAAGCTTTCATACTGTTTGGCATATGCCTCTATTTCACTGCATTGATTAGCAAGCCAGGAGGATTTGGTCTCTTTTATTTTCTTTCCTATTATTATTATTACAACACTTACTTTGGTCAAAAAATGAAAAAAACTCAAAAAATACGTATTTTGCACATATAAACGCTAATAAATAAACAATAACCAAAAATTTTTTGTTGAATGAACTGGGGGATTTCTCCCGAGGTTGCCCTTTATAACCTAGGCCACATTACATAAATTCCTGGATTAGAGAGTACTTTTCCCCCACAGCCTGGGCTATAGTTCAAAAAAGAAAAATTAAGCTAGTACTGGCATCAATTTTGCCGAATGATTCAAACTTGATGCATTGTGGTCGATTGTAGCCAGTGTGTTAGGAAAAAAATTAGCGCTTCCCAATATTCTAATAATTAGAAACCGATTAAATAAAGCGTAATGAAGGTAAATAATGCCGGCAACAAGCCATTACTTACAAGAGAAAATTCAGATTGCTGCAAATATTTAAAATGGAGCTATATTTTTTGCCAGGGCTTAAACTAATCTTATAGAATCTTTAATTTTGATTCTAGTTTTATGTACATTTTGCATACTTTGATAAAGTCTGAATTTGTTTAATAATTTGCATTTTTAAATTTCCTCTATCATTAAATACGATATATTTTGCTACATAACTTAGAATCTGGAGCATAGATTTGGCCCCCTAAACTCATATAGTAATAACGTTACACAAAAACATTTACACTTGTTTCAATAAAAATGGAATAACGGTTGCTTTAATAGTATCTTAAGTATTAACGGAAAAAAAGGAAACTTCAAAATGTTAATTTGTGCTGTTATTTGATAGTGGTACTGCAATGAAATAAGCAATAAAGTTCATCACTAGCACCTGCATATTTCAGCTTATGATCAACCAATAATAACGTAATCACCGTTAAAGTTTGTAACGTTATCACTATTAAAGTATAACAAAATTAATACAAATAATATTAAAATCACACATATCTAGTTAATTGTGTATAGAATTCTTGCAAGCATACATGTAGCTGGGTAAATGTTGGCCTTTCTTCAGCACTCATCGCCCAACAATAAGCCATTACCGCAAATCTAAAAAATAAGATTTATTATTTATATGCATATATATAGGATCAAGTGGTGCAAAAATGAGACAGCCGAAATTTCGGTCAAAAACAAGACATTAAATTTTTCCTAATGCAAAAAAACAATAACCTTATAAAACATACGTTACAAATAATTTCCACATAATATACAATTGAATATTGAATATATACGAACGTTTCCTGTTGCGCCGCTGTACGAGATCCTGAGGACTCGGGAAGTACCGGATTTCTAAAATAGCACATGCGACTATGATATTCCGAATTTAGTCTATCTTCACTCGTTGGCAAGCTAGCACGTCGTAAATAACAGGTGCAAAAACGAGACACGTGCCAGTTAAAAAACATAATGCCGAAGGTTTACGTTCCCAAAAAGCACCCCTACGACAAAAAGGACATGGAAACAGCCCTAAAGCTAATACAGGATGGCACTTTATCTCTTAGAATTGCAGCTACACAGTTTAAAATTGACAAATCTGCTCTTTCGGATCGACAAAACGAGCTTGACGAGTAAACAGTGTTTCCGATTAGCTCTTAGTTTTTATCAAAATTAAGGTGGTTTTACTTGTTAGAAAATTATCAAAGTTGGTATAATAGTGTATTATATAGTGCCTTATCCAATTTTGGGATCAAACTGTAAGTTAGACCATCTTTATTATTATTTTTTAATCAATAAGCAGTAAACAACGGTTATAAATACCAGTAGCGAGGTAATTAAGTAGCTTAATTACTTATTACTTATGAACCTGTCCAAGCACCAGGGCCGTAATCAGGCAACATAGGCCCAATATGCAGGAAATTTCAGAGGAAAGAACTTCTGAACTTCAAAATTCTCAAGATGTCATTAATCCATCCAATCAATCAAAATTATATTCAACCGCTCTGACTACATCTAACAAAAAATTCCCAAGCAAAAACCAAGCCATTTTGTTCAATTCACTTCCAAATACCAAAATTGAAGATTATTTAAATGCCATAGCAACTAAGGTCGATCCCAATAAAATTCTCGCCATTTCCAGGATTGCAAATGATCGTATTTGCATATATTTTACTACTGAAGAGACAGTCACCGAATTTTTAGGAAGAGATAATGGAACCATACTAATCAATCAGGAACGTATCCAAGCCAGGAAGTTAATCACACCAAGCGAAAAACTGATAATTTCTAATATCCACCCATCAATACCCCACAGCATTATAGAGACTGAACTACAAAATATTGGAATTCATCAAATAACTCCATTGGATTTTCTAAGAATAGGGACAACTAATTCTTTATTTAAGCATATCTTGAGTTTCCGACGTTATACTTACATTACTCCTAAAAATCTAGAAAATATTCCTGAGTCTATATTAATTAACTACGAACAAATCAATTATCGAATATATTTTTCACTTGAAAAACAGTCATGCTACATTTGCAAACAACAAGGTCATCTAGCCTCTCAATGCACAAAAAATATGAACACTCAAACATCTATCGAAAACTCATCACCTACTTCTCAACCAAATTATATCCAAAATTTTCACCCCAACATAACAGATGCACAGCAAACTATCCATCATTCACAATCTTTACAACAATCTACCAGTTCACAATCAACAGAAACAACCAATACTTCTCTATTAGATTCAAATCCTATTCAAACACCTATCCAACCAGATAACGTTGAAAAGAATATTCACAGCCAAAATCAACCTCCTACGTCCTCTGACAGTCAATCGTCTAAACGAACGGTATCAGAAATAACGTCTCCTCCAACATCAGTAGACCAGAACCCATTTAAAGAACCTCTCCGTAAATCTAAGAAAGCAAAAACTGTTCCTGAAGTTAATAAGGATTTAGCAGAAGATCTTAATAAATGCACTAGTTCTTTTTTCCAAGATAATTCTGATAACGGATATCTAACCCAGGAAGAATTAATTGATTTCTTCGAAAACGCACACGGCTCTGCTGATCCTCTCAGCATTGCTAAAACGTATACAGAAGATATCGAAGGACTACTCAATTTTTTAACTAAAATCCATCCAGCATTAACTCCCAAGTATCTGAAAAGTCGCTGTACAAGAATAAAATCTAAAATTAATAAACAGGTATTATCCTCTTTCTCTACTGATCACAGTGATCACAGCAGCGACGCCTCTGCTGAAATTTAATACAACAACATTCAACTGTATACTTCAATGGAACCTAAATGGGTATTACACCCATTTAGAAGAACTTAAATTAATTATAGCTAAATTTAAACCATCTGTAATATGCCTACAAGAAACCCACTTCAAAGAAGATAACTGTCATAATTTAAGAAACTATACTCCGTATTATAAGAACAGAATAACTGCTAGCCATGCTAGTGGGGGAGTAGTAATATATGTCCATAACTCATTTAATACCGAAGTAATACGTTTAAGAACTGAGTTGGAGGCAACAGCAGTATCTATAAAAGGCCCCCACAAAGTTAATATATGTAATATTTATTTTCCTCCGGACTTAGACCCGTCCATAAATGAAATAACTGATCTCTTTAATCAAATTCCAGAACCGCGTATTATACTAGGTGATTTTAATGCTCACAATATACTTTGGGGAGGCAAAAAAACAGATTCCTTGGGACGTAAAATCGAACAAATTGTTACCGATTCTAATATGAATATCCTTAACGATGGAAGAATCACAAGGTTCAATATTTCCACCGGAAATGGGTCACCAATAGATTTATCCCTTTGTGACTCTGTCTTACAACCAACTCTGTCGTGGGATGTGACATCTCATTTGCATGGAAGTGATCATTTTCCTATCCTAATTATAAACAATAACCATATCTCCTCATCAGTTCCATCCAATAAATGGTGTTTGAAAAATGCAGATTGGTCTCTTTATTCCTCCTTAATTTCACATAAAATTTCTCAGTTGGTCCAGCCCTTCGATACAGATATTGATATCAACTCCAAAGTACTCCATTTCGTACAGTTTTTAACGTCAATAGCTCACGAGTCCATAGGTTATTCAAAATTTCCAAAAAAACGTGCCCCAGTCCCGTGGTGGAATTCTCATTGCGAGGCAGCCATTAAAGATTCAAAAAAGGCATTTTATAAATTTAGAAGGCACCCAACTTTAAATAACCAGCTTGAATTTAAAAGATTAAGGGCGTACTGTAGATACACCTTAAAAAAGAGTAAGAAAGAAGCTTGGAAAAACTATGTATCATCTTTAAATTCATCTACCTCGACTTCTGAGGTTTGGCAAATGATAAGCAGAATGTACGGGAAAAAATCATTTAACACCATTCATTACCTAGAACATGATAACCATATTTATTCAACTAAGCAAGAAATAGCCTCCGTACTAGCAAACGTATACCAACAACATAGCAGTGACGAAAATCTATCTACAATTTTCCTAGTCCATAAAAATAAAGTTAATAATGCCTGTATAAATCTTGATGACCACAATAATTTACCTCTAAATGTTACATTTACGATGGATGAACTATTAGAAACGTTAAACAAAGTTAAAGACACTAGCCCAGGGCCTGACAACATACCTACGACATTTTTAAAAGCTATGCCAACGGAAGGCAAACAATATCTTTTGGCTCTCTATAATTTCATTTGGACAAATAATGTTTTCCCAATTGATTGGTATGATTCCATTATTGTACCAGTTCTTAAACAAGGCAAGAATAAATCGGACCCAGAGTCTTACCGACCAATCTCTCTAACTTCTACTATGTGTAAAGTACTTGAAAAAATGGTAAGCAACCGACTAACGTGGTACCTAGAAAATCGACAGCTACTTAGCCCTATACAAAGTGGATTTAGAAAGTCCAGATCTACATTAGACAACATAGTGGATATTGAATCCGTAATTCATGAGTCATTTGGATGTGGTCAAGTATGTCTGGCTGTATTTTTTGATATAACGCGTGCATATGATACAATTTGGAGATCAGATATCATAAAAATTCTGTCAAGTTGGTCGATTAAAGGAAATATTATCAAATTTATTAATAATTTTTTATATAGGCGAAACTTCAAAGTTCGAATAGACAACTTTCTTTCAGACTCCAAAATCCAATTAAATGGTATTCCTCAAGGGTCTACTCTTAGTGTTGTACTTTTCCTTATTGCCATCAATGACATCGCTAAGTCACTTAGCCCATTAGTCAAACCCCGTCTATTTGCTGATGATCTTGTTATATTCTGTCGTGGTAAAAATATATCAACAATGACGACCCATATACAGCAAGCCATTTACAAATTAGAGAACTGGTCTAATACTACTGGCCTAGAATTTTCACCCACTAAAACGAAAGCAATGATTTTCAGTAAAACTCCAAAGAAATACATAAATCCACCGAAACTCTACCTAAAAAATTTACCAATAAAGTATTCAGAATCGATTAACTTCTTGGGAGTAAAACTGGATAACCGACTATCTTGGCAAGACCACATCCACTCCCTCCGTCTGTCAGTTCAAAACGGCCTTAACTTAATGAAAAGTATCTCTCATAAACAGTGGGGTGCCGATTTCCAAACTCTTATGACTATATACAAAACCCTAATCCGTTCAAAACTAGATTATGCTGCTGTTGCCTACAACTCAGCCAAAGGTTCACTATTAAAAGTGCTAGATACGGTTCATAATTCAGCAATTAGAATTGCACTGGGAGCACACTACACAAGCTCAGTTGAAGGTATGTATGTTGAATCAGGCGAACCATCCCTCCAACTTAGGAGAGAATACCTTAGCCTCATGTATGCCTCTAGAGTATCAACTAACCCTCAGCTACCTGTTTATAAAAACACATTTACAGATAGATTTCCATCGACATTTAATAGGGGAAAAAGATTGGATCCTCCGTTTTATCATCGAGTTAGAGCAACGCTACAAAGCTTAGACACAATAATTCCACCCACTTACAATATTTTTAAAGTCAGTCAAAGCATGCTACCATGGACAATTGTTCTCCCTGATTGTAATACAAACCTATCTGCATTCAAGAAATGTGTCACACCAGCAAAAATCTTCAATCAGAAATTATTAGAGATATTAAATTATTTTAATAATCACATTCATATTTATACCGATGCATCCAGATCTGCAAATGGAGTAGGAGCGGCTTTCACAACAGATAACTATAACAGTTCCTACCAGCTCCCTCCCCAAACTTCCATATTTTCAGCTGAACTCTTTGCTATCCTCCAGTCATTAAAATTTGTTAACACACATGACATTAAATTCTCAATAATCATTAGCGACTCCCTAAGTGCATTAACAGCCTTAAAGCAAATATACCCCAAACATCCTGTCCTGCTTTTAATTAAGTCGGAACTCTTGATATGCCAACAAAATCAAAGATTAGTTCAGTTCCTCTGGGTACCTTCACATTGCGAGATAACTGGAAACGATAAAGCTGACATATTAGCAAAAAATGCGAGTGAGCATCCATTAACAGACATCATAACTACTTGCGTTCATACTGATCTAAAGCAATATTTTAAGAACAAGATCATGACAAAATGGCAAACAAATTGGAATAAATCAAACTCTACATTAAGAAAAATCAAACAAAATGTATTGCCGTCGAAACATCCTACTAAGAGAAGAGACCAAGTGCTCATGTCCAGATTACGACTTGGTCATACGAAGATCACCCATGACTTTATATTAAAGAAGGAAGCCCCTCCAATGTGTTATGTGTGTGATAGTGAACTAACAGTGCAACATATAATAATAGACTGTCCCCTCTACGTTATAGAACGACAACATCAACAGTTACCAACTACATTTAAAGATTGTTTAAGTGAAAATAATTCATCTAAGACTCTCAATTTTTTACGTACTATAGGACTCATTAACCAAATTTAATATAAGCTTTGTAATTTGATATCAATACTGTTCATTGCTAATAACCCTTTTGTGGTTGAAGCAAATTGTAAATAAAAAAAAAAAAAAAAAAAATCTGCTCTTTCGAGAAGACGTACTCGTGTACTTGGCAAACAGGCAACAAAAACTTCTCTAACCAAAGAAATTGAATAATACTTAAATGATAAGATAAAAATTAGGGCAAAATGGGGGTTTGCTCTCACTAAACCGGAGATACAAGCAATAGTTCAAACCTATGTACAAGAAAACCACCTTACTACCCAGTTTAAGGAAGGAAAGCTTAGCAAAGAGTGGTTTAAAAATTGTTGCAAGCATAATAGTCGCAAGTCGCAAGTCAAAAAAGCTTGAGCAACTGGAAAGATGTAGAAGGTCAGCTACAAGTGATCCATTCATCATCTTTGGCTTTTACGATCGCCTGAATACTTGCGCATATCTGATTTTAAATTGCAAGACAAGCCCGGTCATATCTGGAATTTAGACGAGACCCGTTTTTCTTCCGATCCAACCAGAATAAAAGGCGTTGCTGGTATTGGTCAGAAAGTTCTCCGGAACATAGAGGGGTCAGGAACAGAAAATACCACCGTAATGGCCTGTATTTCAGGAAGTGGTTTTTTGTTGCCTCCTCTAATAATTTTCGGATAGAATTGGCTGTGCAAGAAAGATAGACTCTATGACTAAAGTCCTAACAACAGAAGAGTACTTAAAGGAAATACAGGAGAATGAACAAAATAAGAAAAGTAAATGTGAGAAATCTACAAAATCACGAAAGAAACAAAAGGCGAATAAAACAGTAGTTGAAAGTGACAGTGAAAGCAGCATTGACGAACAGCAAGTTTACCAAGATGAAAGCGATGTAGAGAATTTGACTTTAGAAGATATTATTGAAGATGAGTGTGATGACACGCCTTCAGAAAATGGAGAAACAACCTTGAAATTACGACAGCATATGAACTTAGGGAAAGTGATTTTATTTTAATTAAATTTAATACTACGAAGACGCAAGATTACTACGTGGCACAAATTCTTAAAATTTTTAAGAGCGATGTAGAAGTAAAATATCTGAGGCGCAAAGGATTTAATTTTTTTTCCAGTCATTGAGGAAAAGTACTTGTCTTATTTTTAACCTCTCAATGCAAAAAATTAAAAGATTTAAAAATCGTCTCGTTTTTACACCACTTGACCCTACTTTTTTTTTAATATATAATGTATACGCAAAACAACTATACTACAAATATCAAATATACAGGGTGTTTCATTAATAATTGAAAATCTTTTAATTTTAGATTTCCGCGCTAAAAATATTAAGGTTTAACCCAAATCACTTAAATCAAATGTGGCTCCTTACTGAGTTACAGGGTGTTTTATTTAAAAATTTTAAAAATTATTTGTACCCAGTACTTTAAAACTATTTAAAGATAATATACATAGAATAAATTCAATAGATGCTAAAGACAAAAAATTTGTTTCAAAATATCATTAGCAATGTAGTAATATAAATACGAATACTTACAATTCATCAGGGCAGTTGATTGGCTGAGCAAGTCTGTAGCCATCTTTCAAATAAGCTGCAATTTCAAACGGATCGATCTCTATGTAAGGTTGCTGGGCTAGTGTGGTCAGTTCCCAAAGCAATACGCCAAAAGACCAAACATCGGAACTTGGCGAAAAGGTCTTTTGTAAAAGACTCTCTATTGCTAACCATTTGACTGGCCTATTTTCATTATCACCAAGGCAGTGATAGTCCGAAGGAAATAAATCTCTTGATAAGGCATTGTCAGCAACCAGTACGTTTAATTTGTCATCGACCCTAGAATACAATAAAGTTTTCATAATAATATGTATTTTATTCACATCTTTTGACGGGATTAGGATGAATATTATCTACGGATTATTTAAACGTATAAAAATGTACAAACTATGCATAAAATAGTAAAAAAGCAAAGTGCAAATAAAAAACGGTAAAACGTCGAACGTTTTGTCTATTCTTAACATCTGTTTATTTAAAGTGGAGTTTTTGAATCTACTTGATCACGCATCTGGTCTGAAAGATCTATTCTAATCAATATATCAAACAAACATGGGTCTCCAGCGACGGCATCACAAGAAATCAGATCGATCATATTCTAGTAGATGCCAGGAGGGGAAGTAACTGTCTAGAGGTAAGAAGCCTAAGAGGAGCTGATGGAGACACGGATCATTTTCTGGTGAAAGCGAAGATAAGGACAAGAATATCGTCCAAAAAAAAAACACACAAGAATACACCAACACGATTATAGATTACCGAAGTTCCATAACGAAGACTATAACAACATAGACTCAGCTTGGAAAAATATCAAATTAGCTCTGACAAGCGTATCAGATGAAATACTAGGACACAAAAAGAAAACAACAAAAAAATGGTTCGATGATGATTGCCTAAACTCCATAACAACAAGAAATATGGCTAGAAGGAACATGCTACAAAACCCCTCGCACAACAACAATGAAATATATAGACAAAGAAGAACAGAGACAAGAAAACTAATAAAAAGGAAGAAGAGGGAGTATCAGGAACAAATAATCAGAGATATAGAAGAAAAAAAAAAGAACAAACAAGCGAGACAGTTCTTTAAAGGAGTTTCAGATATCAAGACCGGGTACCAAGCAAGAACAGGAAACTTCAGAGGATTCTGATGAAACAGGAGCTTCATCAGATGTTCATAGATTTTAAACAAGCATTTGATAGAGCATGCAGGGCCAGATTGTGGACAGCGATGCAGCAACTTGGCTTTAACATCATACATCACCATCACCATCGATGACTTTAACTTTGAGCGCGTTAGAGAATTCATGTATCTTGGAACAACAATAACTGAAGACAATAACAAGAAATAAACAACAGGATTCAGGCCGGCAACAGATGTCTTTTGCCCTCCAAAATCTTATAAAATCGAAACAACTAACAAGACGTACGAAGATACAGGTCTATAAAACAATCATACGACCCGTTCTGTTGTATGGAAGCGAAACGTGGACGAAAAAAATCCTAAGGAAGATTTTTGGCCCTGTGCTGGATGAAGCGTCAGGACAATATAATATCAAAATTTACTAAAATAGAATTAGAGCTGAATTATGCTTTTGACCACCTTCCTAGAGAAGTTATTTTATAATTTGTAAATAGTACGCTCAATATTTTGTTAAACGTTCCATGACTGTTTAAATCTAATTAAAAAAATATGTTTACTTACATACAATTTCTAGCAGCCAAATCCTTATGTAACAAATGCTTCTTGTGAAGATACTGCATGGCTTGTATAATCTGCAAAGCCATATCAACTACTTCTTGTGTTGTCAAAGTGTGATGAACTCCTTCCGAAGATACTTTACATTTCTGAAGAAATAGTTTTAAATTTGTGTAGTTTTTATAAGGATATAGCAAGAAAGGAGCCATATGCTCTTCAACTGTCACCCTGAGGATGCTCAAAATATGTTTGTGGTTCAAGGCATACATTGACATTCCTTCTTGCAGCAACAGGGATATCTGTACATCGCTAGCATGGTCTGCAACTGTTTTAACAATGACAGTTTCCTCATTTCCGTCTTCTGTGGTATAAGATCCGTGATAAATTTTGCCAAATGTGCCTTCATGAATCACACTGCTCAAACGGACTCTACATCTAAATCAAAATATAACTTCAATAAATAAAAACAAGCAAAAAAATACTATACTAATACTATTACTAACAAGCTAATTTTTTGTAAGTAGCTTTATTTTGCCGAGACGCCAAATCTTTGTCCTTAAAACAATTTGCGTTTGTGATCGTTAACAGGGGTAGCAAGGATGAGATTTATGTTGATTTATTAATTCTCGAAAATTTATTACTAACTGGGTGTTTGCTTTAATAATTCTCAAGATAATTATCTAAATTAACCTAAAAAATATTTGTCCCACAAAATGTAAGGTTTTAGAGATCTTAGAGATCTTGAAGAATGGTGGTAGAATTATCTTCTTCGTGTGATTGTTGACACTCAGCAAGTTCCTCAATGTTGGTCCAAAGTTTTCGCGAGACTTAACGAAAATAGAAGTAGGAATTTCTGGGAAGGCAGTAGCTAACATGTAAATTACGTCCTTTAAGTTAATTTTTTTTTGATGATATCAATAAGATTGAGATCTTCACTTTCTGCGCATTGTAAAATTTCGGACAGTAATTTACGTCTGTATCGTCTTTTCAAGCTTTCAATCACTCCTTGATCCATCATGTGCTCCAAGCTTGTCACATTAGGAGGAAGAAAGATAATTTTTATGTCATCTGTCTCACATGTTAGGTTTTCAGGATCAGTTGGAGCATTATTCAGAAGTAGGATTGTTTTAGTTCAACTCTGAACAAATTTTCTTTACCGATTTACCTTTGTCGATCCATTTAAGCACATTTAGACGTTTTTCCATCGCACAACCACACGTTTACGCTTCTCACTTATTTTCACACAAGACGCATTCAATCCTAGTCGAAATCAAAAACAGAACTTACACCTAGGGGCGAGAGGCGATCATCAAGCGCCACTTGATGATCGTCTCGTACTCAGAACAATAGGAAACGGGAAGGGCCGGTTAATACGACGGCCTGTTAATGCGGGATCGGTTAAGAGGGAGTCTACTGACAACTTGTTGTCTATTAACAACTTGTTGGTTATGTAGCGACAAGTTAATTACGAATAATGAAACTTTTGTATTCAAAAATTAAATAAAACAATATCATATTAAAATTTACATTTTCGCAATTCTTTATACACATAATAGAAATGAAATAAAAATTTAAAGGTGTTCCTCAATATATTTATTTAATTACTACAGATATTAGATGTGGTCGCCACTTTATACATTTTGAGTGCGTTGCAGTTTTATGGGGAACTAAATATAATATAGCGACCAGCCCTATAATAAAAGTTTATCGTCTGGCTTTTAAAATCAAAGAACGCGTGTTCTGATTTAGTTTGAGTTTTTCAGTAATCTTTAAGACACCCTTTGCAACGGTCCGCGATACATATACAAAAAATACCGTCCCTTCGATAATTAATTACGTTTTACAAAATAAATATTATTAACAGCTTTTCTACGTTTTATTCAATTTAATTATTATTTTTATATTGTTTCACAATATAAAAATAAACACATAAATAAACACATCCAAACCACGGAACAGTTACACACCCAGAATTTTTGAAATAATCTTTTTTTTTAACGATTTCTAAAGTGGAAATCGAAACGTCAAACATTAGTTTGTATTAGTATTACAGTTATGTATCTATGATTTTTCACTATCCATAAAATTTTGATTATATATAGACTTTATACAAACTGAAAGAATACCTAATAATACATAATTACTTACCTTTGTATTGTAAGTTCCGTAATTTTGTCTTGCAGGTCTTTGCATCTTTCATCTATAAGTGAGTAACTTGGCATTCTTCTAAAACTGCCATACGAAGAAGCATTTAAACTGTTCCTTGGTAAAGCTGCCAAAAAAGTTGTAGTCGTAGTTGTTGGCCCACTTCCATTTTCAGTTGTACGTCTAATCTTATTATCTTTACAATAATATAAAGTAACAACAAAGGCTAGAATAAAAATAAGCAGAACGGCACAACATACTGCTATATAAAAAATATTTGCGGAGTTTGCAAAATGTGGCAATGAGTCTTTTGAAATATAAGTTGTTGATTTTTCTAATTCCAAACAGATCTTTTTTCTTCGAAATATTAACGTTGTCACATTTTCTGATGTTAAAGTCACGTTCAATTTGATGGCTATATCTACCTCTCCTTCTATTACTCCAGAACATGGCAAGGATATTTGGAAGGTTTGAACTGTGTTTGGGATCACGCCGACATTGGATATATTAAATGTTGGAAGAGGAAGCGCGTCAGAATTTGAAGTTTCTACTTTAAGTTCATAATGGACCTAAAAATATTAATTAATATTTGAGTCCTGAAAAGAGGATATGGCAATATTAGTATGACTAATGTTGAGGTCATACGTAGAATAGGCAAGGAATGCGAGATTATTAACACCATCAAAGAGCGCAAACTAGAATATCTTGGCGATGTTATGAGGAATGAACAGAGATACGGCTTGTTGCAACTCATTCTTCAGGGCAAGGTATTTAAAAAGAGAGGACCAGAGAGAAGAAAAATATCTTGGCTTCAAAACCTGAGAAAGTGGTTTAATACATCGACAACCGGACTATTCAGAATAGCAGCAAGCAAAGTTAGGATCGCCATGTTAATCGCCAACATCCGGAACGGATAGGCACCGTAAGAAGAAGAACCTAAATCTGGTAAACCTCTAACTGAAGCCAGTTCGTACAGACCAATAAGTCTCCTTCCGACTTTATCAAAAGTCTTGGAAAGGTTAATCCTTAACAGAATAGAAACAATACCTTTAGAAAACTTTATTCCAGATCATTAGTTTGGTTTTCGCTCAAATCACTCAACTATACAACAGTGCCATAGATTAGTCAACAAAATTAAAGAGAGTCTAGAAGGGAAACAAATCTGTCTATCAGCATTCCTCGATATACAGCAAGAATTTGATAGAGTGTGGCACGAGGATCTTCTCTTTAAAATAAAAACTCAGCTAACTGACCAAATCTACCTCCTCCTTAAATCATACTTGTCCGACAGATACTTCCGAGTTAAATACGAAGGTCTTCTATCCAACTACCACCAAATAAAATCCGGAGTACCTCAAGGCAGTGTACTTGGCCCATTCCTTTACCAAATCTTTACTGCTGATATTCCTATTAGCGATAAAACACTAATGGTAACATTTGCGGATGACACTGGTATACTAGCATTAGACATAAACGAAATATTAACATTTAACAAATTACCAAATCATCTCAATGAACTAGAAGACTGTCTTAAATGCTGGAAAATAAAGGTCAACACAAACAAGTCTTGTCAAGTAAATTTCACAAATCGAAGAATTAGATGTCCACGACTACACCTAAATAATTCACCTATACCAATAAAAACAGAAGTAAAGTACCTGGGACTTCATCTAGACGAAAAACTTACTTGGAAATCACATATTGCAGCCAAACGATGACACCTCGACCTAAAAGTTAAAAATATGAGCTGGCTAATCAACAAAAGATCGCAACTTTCATTAGAAAACAAACTGACTATCTATAAAACAATACTCAAACCAGTGTGGACATACGGAATTGAGCTTTGGGGCTGTAGCAAACCATCTAACACCAAAATACTACAGACATTCCAGTCAAAAACTATTCGTATGTTAGCTAAATCCCCATGGTATGTGTCAAATCAAACCCTTCATGCAGACCTCAACATCCCCTTCATTAATGATGTGATTGCTGACCACTCCAGAAGATACATGAATCGCAGCGCAGACCATCCAAACCATCTCATCGACGAATTATTCAACCCCCCAGTGGTTGACAGATGTCTAAAAAGACTTTGGCCAGAAGACCTAGCTGCTAGGTAAATTCCAGAGAGTCGTCAATGGACGACACAAATAAATAAAAATGTAATCACATGAGCTTTCCTCCGATGGAAAGTATTTCAAAATATTAACACAGTATGTTGTTAGTTTTACTATGATACGACCAATCATATATGAATTATATACTTAATAAATACTTCGTCTTGACTCAGAATTGTCTTCCAGAATCCCTTTAATAACTATTATAATATATTAATATATTCACCAATTTACTTACTGCCTGTCCTGGTGTTAAACTTTCCCATGTAAAGTACAACGAATCAATGTTGGACGGAATAGTAACAACATATTTGAACGCATAATTGTTTATCACGCCCTTTCTGATGTAAAAGAGCTCAGCGTGTAAACCTGAAACAAAAATTATATGTCACTCATGCGAGTATACAATAGATGAAAAATAGGCCAATAAAGTTAGTTTTTTTTATTTGATAGTTGAAATGGGATATTAGAAAAGACTCATTTGATTCGTTATTTTTTTTTTTGATTATTTTTTTTTGTTCTCTCATTATTTTACTCATAACTTATATTTGGAAAGCGGATTAGAACAAAAAAACATTATCTAGACTTCGTCTCAAAGTGACTAGTCTGTACAGGGAAGATATTCAATGCTAGCCTTATGGGAATTTCGCCAAGACGTTGCCAGTTTTATGCAGTGAGCGATGGCGTTCTCTATTATCTATCTTTCAAAATAAACGGAATAAACCAGGAGTTCCCAACAAGTCCTTATCTAATAATTTTACATAATACTATACATTATTTGTTTCTAATAGTAACTTATCAACTTTTATCTTTTATTAGCAGCAAAAGTATAATAAAATGTGCATTAAATAAACGTTTGTTTCAATGTTTTTCAAATACTTTCTTCTGAGTTATTTAGTAATTAAGAAACAATTAGAGTAATTCTTGTATAGAATGTGTTTAAAAGCTTTGATACATCCAGGGCCTTAATTAGTTTTTATTTGTTCTTTGGAGCGCGTAAACATATTCGAGTTACGATTATTTGTACCATCTTGGATGCACTGTTACTGTTTTGATATTGTTATTATTTGTTGGTGGCTGTTGGTGTGATTTGCTGTTGGCAATTATTATTTTCTGTTGTTGGCTATTGTTATATTTGACGCCGAATTTTTACCGCAAAATGGAGGAAATTGTTCAATGGAAACGTGGAAAATCTCTGAAACTTTCAGAGAAGCAGATACTAATGAATGGACAAAATCAAAGTGCGAGATTACAGAAGAACTTCAAATAATTTATTTCAAATATTTTTAATAAAAAAAATATAAACAAGTGTCCTGAACATTTTTTCGTAGAATTGTCGCAACAGATCGTAAGAAAATTAAAATAGTCAAAAAGTCAAAAAATGGTATTAAAAAAAATAAAAAACTAATTTCATGCCTCTGAACTTCCTACAAAGTAGTCTTTAGGTTTAGTAAGTATAGTGTATGTATCCACAATTGTTGATAACTGTCCTACATCTGTGAGTAAAATTCGTGTCTTGCCGCGGTATTCTGTTCCACTCTATTGAAAGACCCTCAAATAGTTGCTGTCTTGTATTGAACGCAATATTTTGTTATAAAATGTGTCTGTCCAATATGTCCCATACATGCTCAATTGGGTTTAAATCTCGAGATTGTGCAGGCCATGGTAAAACCTTAATCTTCGAGGAATATTCTCACGAATCTGGCAGTATGCAGACGCACACTGTTGTGAATTAATTGAAATTGGGGAACAGCTTTTTGGGCAAATGGTACAACGATAGGTTCGAACATAATATCGCGGTAGTCTATTGCATTTAGAAACAGTTCCAAAGAAACGAAATTGGTTCTTGGACCAATAGTAATGTCACCCCATACCATTATACTGCCGCCTTGCTATCTTATGAACCTTCTGCACGGTGGCCAATCGTTAAGCATTGCCAGATCGTCTTCAAACTCTTGTCCGTTTTGTATATCCAAAGAAATCCTGTAAATCCAAAGCAGGACTCATCTGTAAACAAATTAGACGGCCACTCTCCTCTAATCCAATTTGCGTGTTCTTGTGCCCACTAAAGTCGTTGAGCGTGATTTCCTCTGGATAACACAAGCACCCTCACAGGTCTTCAAGCATTGAACCCTGCTTCATGCAATATATTTCTAATGATTTGAGCACTTACAAACACCTGATGTATCTGTTACATCCTCATTTGTAATTGTAATGCAGTTACAGTGCGTTCTCGCAAAGCCTGCAACTTAATAAAAAGGTCTTCAATCTGGTTGGTTATCCTTGTATGACCTGTATGATTATCAGCAACATCACCAGTTTCTCGACACCTTAACCACAACTGATTAATGACAGTTATGTTCGTGTGGAGGACCTCAGCAACATCTTTTTGATTTCTGCCAGCTTAAAACATCCCCATAGCACGCCACTGGTTTCGCGATTTAAATGATGTCTCTCCATTATTGGCAATTGCAAAACTAAATACAAATTCACATACTTAAACATCGAAAATCAGGTACCAATAAAAAAATATTACTTTTATCTTATAGACAGAAAACGCATATTGAAGTTTTGTTAAATTTTTTATAGCTATTCTTATTAGCATTGCCGTTCAAGTTGGTACAATAATCGACAAAATAACAAAAAATATTAAAAACAAGTTTATTTTTCTATTTGCAGCTAACATTGATTTAAAGCTATTAATATTTTGATGTGTGTATATACCCCGATGCTCTGATGGTAAGTAAAACAAAAAATTTAAACAGATGATTTTAAATTAATGAGTCCAAAGCACCTCAGGCACGGATCTATTTCTATAAAGAAATATAAACACCATTACTAGCTAGAGCACGCACACATACACAACTAACGGCAGATAATGGTGAAAGATTTTATTGGAATTCTTAAAAATAAAACAAATAATATTCTAGGTAAACGGATCAATCCCGTATCTGGAGGAATTCAGAATTCATGGTTTTAGATGATCTGGGGACATAAAATATTTTACATAATTTTTGCAGTGTGATGTTTTATATCGAAACAAAGCAACAGTTAGACGGGATTCGTTATTTCCAATCCATCTACTTTAAAACAAATTAAGAATGCAGACAGTGTTCTTAAAAAATATCTACCGAATCTTTACCGAATTATTGTTTTACTACAGATTATTTTGATGTGTGTATTATACCAAACATAAACGTATCGCCGGAAATCATTTGATTAATCAAATCTTTGACGACTCGATATATTTGAGTTTGTTGAGTTTGGAGGGTTGAAAATTTAAAAATTTGATGCGTTCCAAATAACCATCACTAAACGATCTCATGTGGTATTCTAGTAAAGTCTAAATATGTTTGTGCGTTGTAGGGGTCGTTCAAGTATTATGTAACGCAATTAGGAAAGAGGGGTCTTGTAAGACGTTACGGTGCGTTGCAGGGATGGGGGTGAGGTTCGGAGGGCAACGCGTTACGTAACCGTGTTTTTTTGCTTAAATAAAGACACTATGGAATTAAAATCTCCCAAGTTGTCAATTCTTTTCGTTTATGTTTCCTCGATTGCATTGTACAATATTGCTATTTTGTTCCTTTTGTTTATATTTTACAGGGAATTCTTTGACTGGTTCTAGAATAATAAAATCCGTTCTGCAACCAAAGTCTCATTGCAAGAATATCGAGACAGAATCTCCTGTGGATAAAAAACTACATACAGAACCGGTCCAATGTAGTGTAAATATCAAGCAAGATATTATCAATGTAGACGAAAACCCACACGAAACTACCTCAAATCTACCAGTTTCACCTCTAGAGCTAAGTGCATCTAATGATAAGAGTATAATATTTACAATGAATAGTTTTCCTGTGGTTGAAAGTTCTCTAAATTTCTTAGTTCAAGAAGATGGTTCCTTACAATTGGAAATGAATATCCCTGAACTTGTTGGTAACAAAAGTTATACTTCAGATTCAAGTAAACAAATTTTGGAAAACATTGGTACAGATGATCCTATCAATTCCGATAGTTCCATGGAAATTTCTTCAGGAAATATAAGAAAACAAGCACGAAAAGGTAAACTGAGAAAGGGAGAGGGGATCCAAAAGTCAAACAAAGATAAGAGAATGAGAGGACAAAATTGCTTGAGAAGAGAAGGAAATTGGTTTAGTATTGGGTGAGAAGCAAGAAAATTAAAAATACATTATGGTTGCAAAAAAGGTAAACTTGGAAAGAAACTCAAATGTGCTTTGTTTGATGAATCCAAAAGACAAAAAATATTTGCTCAATTTTGGGGTATGAATTGGGATGAAAAAAAAAATGTTTGTTGCTCAATCTGTCAATATTGTTAGCGTTAAGGAGAGAAAAGGTAAAAACAAGAAAAAATTCAGAAGACAGACTACTTATGAATACTACCTAAAAATTAGTACAGCTGAAGAAAAGTAGAAAGTTTGTAAGAAACTTTTTTTAAATACTTTGGCAATTGGAGAGAGATGTGTATTTGACTGTGTAGGAAAGTACAAAAATTCTTTGAATAGTACAAGGGAGTCCGAAACATAAGAGGAAGAAGCTTCTGCTTTGGATTCTTCACAAACCAATGAAAAAAAAAATGTTCAGGCTCAACCTAAAGCTGGCTCAAAATAAAGCTGAGGATTCTAGAAAATGTTTTCAATAATTTTTTGAATGCTCTTCCCAAAGTAGAGTTGCATTATTGTCGAAAATCAACAAAAAATGTTATATTTAAGAATCAAGCTAAAAGTCCATAATTTGACAATATTCGATATAAAATCGTCTGAAGTATATTGTTTTTTGTGGGATGAAAATGAAGGAGGATAAAATGCTAACGAAATCTGTTCTATATTTCATTTAATCTGTACAAAACTTGATTTGTCACCACCTGTGAACAAAATAATCATTTTTAGTGACGGTTGTACTTACCAGAATACAAATTCAATTTTGGCAAATACATTCTTGCTTGCTTCTGTCAAAACAGGAATAAAAATTAGAGTAGAGTAGAGTAAATTACTCTACTCTAAAAAAAAATTACTCAAAAAATTTTAGAGAAGGGCCAGACACAAATGCAATGCGATGCTATATGCATGCCACTATTGAGAGAAAATTACAGAACTGAAAAATTTATTCTCCCAAGTAATTACATAGAAATATGTAGAACTGTCAGAATTAAACCAAAACCATATAATGTTGAATGGCTTGAGTATATTTTTTTCAAGAAATTTAGTAGTTTGAACTATGTCTTGTCTCTGAGACCAGGTAACAAAGCAGGCGATTCTGTGGTGACAGACATAAAATGTATTCAATATTGCCCAAATGGGGAGCTAAAGGTAAAGACAGGCTATGAAGATGAGTATTCTAATATTCCACGCAGAATTAAAGTGCCTCTTGTAGAAGACTTGGAACGAATCACACCTTTATATCAAAACAAACCGAAGATTACACATATCACAGGAGTAAAATAAATTCTGTTGGATTATGTTGGATATCTAAAAATATCGTAAGTCAGGTAATTTCTAGAATTTTGTTATCTGAAAAAGGCATAAGTCCAAAAAATCTGGTTTTCTCCATAATGCCTACTCATTAAGATTTTTTTAATATCAATTTCATTGTATTAGTCTAAAAACTAATATGGTACCAAACAGTTTTTCAGACGATTTTCACATTTGGTCCCATTGAAGATGAGACTTTTTCATTCTAGGCCATCGATATTATTTTAATCTATTAAAAGAAAACAACATAGTAAACTGTAGTTATCATAAAATAAAGATATCACTGTTGGATTATAAAAAAACTGTAATTAGTAATCAGCACCTAGTTTATAGGGCATTAACAAAGTAAATATAAACACATTAAAAAATATATAAATAAAACAGCACCATTGTACTAAGTTCAAAAATAAAATTGGTAAAAGGGTAGCATAAAAATTTTAAAGCGAAAAATTTCTCATAAAAATATAAGAGTAATTATAACGACCCTCATCTCTTTGAATGACAGTTAATGTGGTGTTAAATTTTTCCTGGGGGTTGCTTCAGGTTAATAACTCTACCCTAGATTGCATTTTGGTCGATCCCAGCACACATGCGCAATTTTATATGGTTTCTATTTATAAACATTTGAAAAGAAAAAATAATGTACTTACCAAAAAGTCTTTGAACTTCTGGAAGACTTAAATATAAATTTAAATAGCCACTAACCGCACAAAAATACGCAGATGACAGTAAAATAATATTGTTTAGAGTAAAACTCTTCATCTTGTTGAACTAATTTAGGTCCTACATTGTTATTTTTGACTGTGTTTACACCTTACCGGACTACGCCACATATTCTTTATCTACGTACGCCACATTGTATTCAACTTTGTGCGTGCCTGTCTGTGTCAACTTCTTCCCATTCCTCGGGTTATTGGGTTGTTTGTTTCTTATGTTTTGTTTTCCTAGAGCTAACTGTGGAGCTAACAAGCTACGCCCGATGCCGATTCTCTGACTGATTCTCACCATGTGCTGTATGAAATACGGATGTTGCCAAGTTTCGTAGTAGAAACTCACATACAGTTGAGTCCATGGTTCTTTACCCGTGCCTCATTATTTAACACGTTGATCGAAATAATAATATATTTTGCCTTTTCGCAGGCCAATTTATTTTTTCGTTTAAAACGCATCAAAATACAGTACAAAAACAACACATTTCTTAAATATAGCAAAATTTCTTTTGCATCGCGCGGCCTAAAAAATAAAATTGTTAAACTGAGGCCATGCGATGCGCGCGTGCCTCGCAAATTTGCAAGAATAAAGGCCGATTCAGACACATCAGTCCCGTAACAGTCTCGGCGCCGAACCGGTCCTGTTTGGTCACAGAACTATCAACTATCTGACAGCTGGCAAACTGTTCGTCAACTGATGAATGTGAATGCCGGCGCCATATTTCTATTAAAGAATATTTTGTATGACGGATTGTTCGGTTCGGCGCCAGGACTGTGACGAGAAGTGACTGAATCGACCTTAAGGTCGATTCAGACACATCAGTCACGTCACAGTCACGGTACCGAACCGGTCCTATTTGGTCACAGAACTATCAACTATCTGACAGCTGGGAAACTGTTTGTCAACTGATGAGTGTGAATGCCGGCAACATATTTGTATTAAAGAATATTTTGTATGACGGATTGTCCGATTCGGTGCAATCACTGTGACGAGATGTGACTGATGTGTCTGAATTGACCTTAAAGGTCGATTCAGACACATCAGTCCCGTCATAGTCTCGGCGCCGAACCGGTCCTATTTGGTCACAGAACTATCAACTATCTGACAGCTGGGAAACTGTTTGTCAACTGATGAGTGTGAATGCCGGAAACATATTTGTATTAAAGAATATTTTGTATGACGGATTGTTCGGTTCGGCGCAATCACTGTGACGAGACGTGACTCATGTGACTGAATCGACCTTTAAAGGTTGATTCAGACACATCAGTCCCGTCACAGTCTCGACGCCGAACCGGTCCTGTTTGGTCACAGAACTATTAACCCTACACTGCGCAATTTTTTCTATTTTTGCAAAACTTTGAAAAATGAATAAACATAATGGGCTGATGGATGGAAAAATATTTAAAAAAATTGTGTACGTTTATTTTTTTTATATTTGACAAAAATAATAATTGATTCATAAATGCATCATGGCGTGTATAATAACTATTATGTAACCTATATATTAATCGTCAGGAAACAAGTGTGGTTTATTGTGTATGAAATATTTTAAAACAATTTTTGTCCTTATTGAAACACAAAGCCGTTGAGCACTTTTCACATAGTACAAATGTTTGTGAATGACAATTAGGTAACTTACACCTTAATCTTGTAGAATTCCATTTAGGAAAATGGCCTTCATTGTCAAGTCGAACATCTTTAGGTGGAAGCGGCATTACATTACCCCTCTTTTTCTTAGATTCAATGTCCTCTTGAACTGACGAAGGTCTTCCTCGTTTGGATCGTTCCGTTCTGCTTCCTATACTACAGAGTGTTCTTGCCAACTGGATTCTAAATTGAGCCATCTTAAGTTTCTGATCAGGGTGCACTTTTTTATAAGCTAGCCAAGCATTGATTATGCAGATATCAAGTAAATGGTAAAACAACCGCATGTACCATTTTTTGGTCCTCATTTTAATCCTATAACGGCCTATGATACTATCCAGTAAATCTACACCACCCATATGACGATTATATTCTTTCACGATTGCCGGACATTTAATTTTTATTTTCTCCTTTTGTTTTCTATCGAAACGTGATATTTCGTCTTCAGGATTAATCCCTACAAATGATGATAAGAACATCACATTTTTGTTGTCTTTCCATAAGACATTTGCTATATCTACACCATTGCAGTTAGCAACATATTCTACAGATGTTCCTCGAACAAACTTCTTTGTTTCTGCATCATTAGGTAATTTGCACAGTGGAATTCTATTTTTTCGAACCGTTCCCAACGAATGAATTCCCATGTTAGCTAAAACCGACACAACTTCGACTGAGGTGTAGTAGTTATCAAAATAAATTTTGTGGAAACAGTTTCTGGGTACTTCCCTTGTCAAACGCATGACAATGTTACCGCTTGCACCTAAATCAGGTTCACAGTTTAGTCGACGTGATGGGTCATTTTCAGTTCCAGTGTAAATTTCAAATTTATAGCAATAACCAGAAACACCACTTAAAATAAATAACTTATAACCCCATTTGTGGGGTTTCAGCGGCAAGTATTGTTTCATGTGATGTCGAGCTTTGGTTGCACAAATTTGTTCATCAATACTAAGAGACTCTTCCATAGGCAAAGATAAGAAATTTTCAGATAAGGAATCAATGACAGGCCGAATTTTATATAACTTGTCAGTGGCATTAGTAGTAGTGTTGTCGTTGAAATGTAAAAACGATCGAATTTTTTCAAAATGCTTTTGACTCATACAATTTTTAACAATGTCAATGCCTACTTCTGCACTCCAGTATGTTCTGATGTTTGTTATGTTTATTACTGACGTCAATATGCATATTCCTAAATATTTATTTAAATCGTTGGACGAAAATTCAAATGGTTTGGATGGATCCTTCTGGACACTATACTGGATAGTCTCATCAACAATTTTTTGCATAATTCTGTCATCAAAAAAATATTTAAAAAACTCATATGGAGTCTTCAATTCCTTTAAGTCATTAGAAATATCATCATTTCCTTTAAAATTAGATGGCACTTTACACATTTTTTTATTTTTCCATACTAGCTGCTTAATTTTTAAAACTTTACTTTTTTCATTTTGTATAGGTTCATGGTTTTCATTTTCGCTAAGTTCGCCCCTGTCTTGGTTATTATCAGAAGAATTCCCTTGCAAATTACCGCCTATGTCACTAACAGAAACAAATATTTCATCAACATTAGTTTCGTTCATATATTTTTCTAACATCTCATTTGTAACTGGCTTTGGAATGGTATTTGGTTCTTCATCTTCATCGCTGACGTCTTCTAATTCATCCTCACTACCACTTGGTATATTTGATATAAATTCCTGAATTTCTTCGTCATTTAAATCATCCAGTGTAATTCGTTTGGCACCCTCGGTATAAATCAAAGGCATCTGAAAGTTAAAAAAAACATCTGTTATATGCGCGCTGAGTCAAATATGAATCATTTAAAAAATGGGCATAAATAAACATCCATTTTAACCGATCATAACAAATATAGTGTGTACGTTTGCAAAATAAACCAATTAACTAACAGTAATTAAATCATACATACCTTTTCAATTTTTATGAGTGAAAACAGTAGTCAAATATTACATTCAACGGACACAAAGTAGCAGTCAATATCTGGCGCCACAGCATAAAGTATGGTTAGGTTATACGATCAGTATGTATATATTTATGTTAAGGTACGACGCTTGAATGAATCACCACGCAACGGAGCACAAAATATTTACTCTAAGTGGAGTTATGGGACAAAATTATGGTTGGTGCATTTTTGCATCATTGCGCAGTGTAGGGTTAATTATCTGACAGCTGGGAACCTGTTCGTCGCCTGATGAATGTGAATTGCATTCCTAAAATTGGCTTTATTTTATAAAAAAAAAGTCATACATTCTTAATTTTAATAATATTGTATTTTATTATGTTAGATTTTCATGGATCTTCAACTTCTGAGCAATAGTTACATTGAGTTACATGCTCATTTATGATGATCCTGAAGAGCAAGATCGCAGACATGCTAGAGTTTACACTTTATTATCAATATGGTACTTTAAGACAGAGTATTTTAGAAGGTATGGAACTTACAACAAACCATTGCTAATGGATATATGGGTATTTATATTTGTATTTCAAAAGGAAGATCTCCAACACAGTGGGAAGATTAAATGAAGATTGGTGAAAAAATCACTTCAGGAAATTGTCCATCTGGTACAGAATTGCAGCCAATGAAGACAGCAAGCTAACAATATTTAGAGTGTGTCCACCGACCTTAACAAGGGCCCAAGAAACGAGAAGGATATTTGTTGCCAATACTCTATTACCAAAGAAAATTATACAAATAATCAAGTGTCGGGATGTCTGTGTTTTATTTTGTTGTTTTTGGGACTTTGGTTTGTTAATGTAATGGAAAACAGATGGTCATTTTTTGACTGACTACTGACATACTGACTTTCAAACCAAATGCTGTGGTTAGTTTAAAATAAAAGCAAAAATAAATGTGATTGGATCATGGAAGCATTTTATAGTATTGATGAAGAAGTAACCTGGAGACATTACACTTTACAATAATTCAAGGGAAATATCAAAAGATGTAGTCTCATGGCATAGCAGATATAGAGGTTAAGCACTTCAGATTAAGTTATGATGACACTGTCACTGTATTACTGGTATTACTGAAAGTCAAAAGTAATAATAATGAAGATGTATAACAGTCCTTATTAAACCTTATTGCAGTAGGTATTCTTATATCAAGTAATAATGAAAACTAGGTTTTATTTCTCAAATATTAGCAAGCTTCACCTGAATACCTGATTCATTATTTAACATTATTTGTAGGGTTTTTTTCTTTTGAACAAAACATTAAAATTCAACTGTGAAAACAATATTGATTATTGTATTAATGCTGTTTTAGGTAATAGGGGGCAAAAAGAATAATTGGCATAATAAAAAAAAAACAGAACCATTACTGCAGGTGATAAAGAAATCAAATTAGAGCCATAGAAATGAACTATTAGAGTGGATGTTGCTGT